TGACGAAGATATGAGAGAACACAATATAAGTCTGAAGTGGAGCTACATGAATAAAATATATGTTCCAGATGGAGGAACAGTAGAATTTAAATGTTTAGGAGGCTATAAACAACATCCAAATACCAGATCATTAAGAGCTAATTGTGTGGATGGGAAATTTGATTATCCAGATTGCATTCCTGTATGTATATTTTCAGAAAATTACTTTAATTCACAAATATTAACATTTCTTTTCTTTGTCTATATCTATATACCTATACATCTATATCTATGCATTAAAAATCACTTGAAATCTTTAAAAGATCTAGGTCTGGCAGCTAAATTTGTGGATGTAATGGATTCTAAGGTAACTTGGTTTTCTGCATTTCTTCTAAATTAGAATACATCTTAACAGACTTGATTTAAACATTGAACATTAATAGAACAGACTTGAACATTGGGTGCTATCTAACAAAATGAAAATCAATGGTGAAAAAAGTAAGGTTCTACATTTTAGGCAAGAAAAACCAAATGCACCGTCATGCTGTAGGTGGTATAAAGTTGATTCTAAGGCAACTTGGTCTTTGGCAATTCTTCTAAATCAGAACACTGCTTAAGATTCCTGTGACCCAAATAAAATTCTTTCTGTTCAGAGCAATGGGAGAGAAGCACTATGAGGGGAGATGTTACTTAAAAACAATGAGGCATGGGACAGGGAGGCACAAAAATCGCTCATCATTTCATCCCTTCTGGTCTGTTGCTGAATCCTGGCAGATTCCAAGATAAAGAACAGGAGATCCCTTTGTCCTAGACCTGAAATGAATGTAAACTCTAATTTAACCTCAGTGGGCTAGTTTGATTGATTTAATTGTCCTCAATGAAACAAATTCAATTTACATGCACTCTAAAATTTTCAGTAGAAAGCAAGTAATTCTTAGGTTGGATCTAGCAATCCCTTGAAGTCAGTAGAATTTCATTTAGGGATGGATAATCTATCTCATCCAATTCATTTCAGAGGGTCTTCTTGTTCAATCTATTTTTACATTCATTCTAAGCTTGGAAATATTTCGTGGGATACCTTATTTTACATGTAATGAATGATTATCAGTGGTTACTAATTCAGTTAATTTTATTTTTTGTTCTGGTCCTGTAGCTTCTGACAGATATTTATAAATAGGTATGTAAAAACACACAGGGACGCTATGGCTCAGTGGCTAAGATGCTGAGCTTGTCAATCAGAAAGGCCAGCAGTTTGGCGGTTTGAATCCCTAGCACCGCATAACAGAATGAGCTCCCGTTACTTGTCCCAGCTTCTGCCAACTAGCAGTTTGAAAGCATGTAAAACTACAAGTATAAAAATAGGCACGACCTCAGTGGGAAGGTTAAAGGAAAACAAAATGCACAGGCAAAGTGTAGGTGGTACCTGGCTAAATAGTAGTAAATGTGAGAGGGATCTTGGAGTCCTAGTGGATAATTAGTTAAATATGAGTGTGCTGCAGCTGTTAAAAAAGCCAATAGTCATTAGCTAGTTAGTAATGCTGTTTTAGGCTGCATTATCAAAGGGATAGATTCAAGATCATGTGAAGTGCTAATACCACTTTATAATGCTTTGGTAAGACCAGACTTGGAATACTGCATACAGTTTTGGTTGCCACATTTTAAAAATATGATTTGGGGACTGGAGGCTAAAACATATAAAGAAGGAACGCTGGAATTGGGTATGTCTAGTTTAATTAAAAGAAGGACTAGCGGTGACATGATAGCAGTGTTTCAATATCTCTGGGGTTGGCAGTTAGAAGAGGGAGTCAAGCTATTCTCCAAAGCACCTTAAGGCAGGACAAGAAGCAATGGATGGAAACTAATCAAAGAGAGAAGCAACTAAGGGGAAATTTTCTGACAGAACAATTAATAAGTGGAACAACTTGCCTCCAGAACTTGTGAATACTCCAATACTGGAAG